CAGACCCAGCAGCCTTCAGCACAGACCCTTCCACCTCATGATACAGACTTGCAGGGGACACTACAATGTGATCCAGGCCTTCTACTGGATACTTCAGATTTCCAGTACACTCTTCCACACATGACTATGTGGCAAGCTACTACAAATCAATCTTGTAAATTCTTACATATTTGTATGCCATATACCTTGCATTAAACCTTTTTCTCTACTAAGCATTAACTGATGCAATTTTGGAAACTGAAGTGGCTCTAGAGAAATAGAATTCTAAAGATGAAATTCTGTTACAGCATCAGTGATTCCTGGGATCAACCTTCTAATTTGATGAGAACTTTAGATGTCATGGTCTCTCCTTCTGTGGGGAATACTGACAGTCCTTGGCATGAACCATTTAAAGGTACATGATGATGTACCTGTACATGATGATACAGGCATGGTGGTGCACACCTGTAATCTCAGTGCTCAGAAGGCTGAATCAGGAAGATTGCCATGAGTTTGAAATCAGTGTAGCCCCATGGTGAGTTCAAGGCCAGTCTGGACTACACAGCAAGACCCTGTCTCAAAATAGCAAAAGAAAAAAAGTAATATGCAATGTAAATCTATTTGACTATCCTAACTCACCACTTGTGAGATTTAAGGAATGTAGTGACTCCACATATGGTTTTTGAATATTTCTGGCAGAGTGGAAAATACAATGATGCTGGCTGGTTACTCTTAGCATTTCTGAAGAAACTAGTGAAGGAAAACAGTGAGTTCAAAACTTCCATACGATATCTCAAGTCTTCTAACTATGAGGACAAGTTGCTAAGGGCAAATAAGGAACTCAAGATTCAAATTCCCAGCTCCAGAAACAAATTAAAAAATTAAATATTTCTAAGTATGTCTTGAAAGAAAATCTCCTTTTAGATACAAAGCCAAGATTGAAAAAAAAAAAAAAGCCCAATTCAATTGGTTAAAATACAGCATGAGTTTAATGCTCATTCTCCAACAGCATCTGAAGCAAAGGTGAGGGCACCAATTGAAAAAGAATGGAATCCTATAAACTGGGATGAAAATGTATGGGAGGAAGCTGAAGATGTTGAGTTTCTAGATGCTGATGAGATTATTTTGTGAGAGAAGGAGATTTCCCCACCTGCAGTGACAGAGACATCCCCAACCCCACTTCTGGAAGTGTTGGCCTCTACTAGAACAACAGGGGAAACTAAGCCTGTGTTGATCTAACCAGAATAACTCTACACTGCTCAGGACCCATCCTCACCACATATGTTTGCCTCTAGATGAACAACCAGGCTCAAATCACAGAAGGTTCTTAAGGGTGAAGTACATAGGCATGACCCATGAGAAGGTCCACTATTCTCCCAAAGAATTTCTTGAGTTCTTTAACTGTGATAAGCAGAGGCCTGATGAGTGTGGGAATGGATTTTACTGGTGTGGAATAATAAAGGCAAAATACATACACCTGGATCAGGCTGAGTTTGTTGACATGGGCCTGTTCTGAATTTAATGTTGCAACTTGTGGAGGAAAGAAAGATGTTAATAGTTTATTTGACTTGTTGACAGAAGTATGCATCAAAAGATAGCCCAATGTGAATGAGTTAGAGATGCCTGATATTCCATGGTTTTACTGCTGACGAGGGGATTCAAAGGCTTAGTTGAAATCAGAATGCCGGAATGGATTTGTCATGTTAAATCTAATCCTCCACACTAGGATGATCCAGAAAATGTACCCTTCCCTAATATGGTGAGTAACAGACTTTCAAGGTGAGCACCAGCATCTCTGAAGAGCCCTGTCATCCTCTTCTCTATATGCCAGTCCTTACAGTGGACACTGGTTAATCAACTGAAAAATTTAAGGGCAACAGATTGGGTCCTGGAGTGGCAAGGATCAAGTGAAAGCATTTAATGGCTGTTAATCACCAAAGGCAAGGTGCACATACTTATAATGGGCAGCAGAAATAGAACAATGATCAGAATGGTCCGACACGTGTTGAGCTGTGGAGCTGACTGATTAGCCATGGTGTTTTCAAGAGTGAGACACGCAGGAAGCCTACAAAGATTTTACTAGATTTATATAATCAAAAAAATGTAAGGGCAGATGAACAAAAACCTACTTCAAACTGTAGTGATAGGAACTCACAGTTGCCAACTGTATGAACTGATTGTGTCCATTGAGTAAGAAATGCACAATTAAATTGGATCAGCACATTCTGAGTGTGGCTGAAGGGATTTACTGAAGATCTTCTGGGATTTATTGGGTGTGAGTGATAGTAACCTATAGGCTTGCTGCCTGAATGGTATAAAAGAGAAACCAAGAAGAAGGCTCCTTCTGTTTCTTCAGAGAAGCTCCAGTCTTCACCTTCACTTTGGACATCACCTCTTGGCTTCCAGGGCAGACCCTTCAGCCTCCTGAGATGGACTCCCATGGGGTACTAACAGCTCCAGGCCTTCAACTGGATCCTTCAGCTCTCTAGGGCACAGATAGTCCTTTTGCATTTTTCTGCATCTAACTCTTCAGGCAGCCACTGTAACCCAGTCTTATAAATTCTTATACATTTGTATATCTTAATTAAATCAATTTTTCAGGAAGTATTGGCTGATACAATGACCACACTAGAATCTCTTCAATTTTAAAATTGAAAACACTGTGACAACTAAAGCTTTTCTGAGTAAGTCAGTAGTGGACAGAATCTATGGTGACAACATCTGACAAAGACTATTTGCAGTTTCTGTATGCCATCAATGGTAAACTTTAGCATCCACTGTAAGCTCCAGAATTAGCAGTTTTCTTGGTGAGAGAAAGCTGTAGTGTTATACACAGACATATGTGGGGTTGATGTTCCAGATTGTCTACTTCACTGCACAACAGTATAAGTAGTGCTGATCTAAAATTTGAATAAATCTGATTCCAAAACTCATCCAAGCCAAAAATCATCACAAGCAAGAGGTGGACCTGTAAAAACACCAATCTCTACCAAGTGTGATTAATAATGCAAAACTGTATTTATTGGGAAAGGCTCTATCTGACTCAAGACTTAAGTATATAAGCATCACAATAAATAAGGATGATCTTACATCTGAGCAGAGTACAGGGACATCTGCTCCATACACCAAGTAAGTAACACACATGCCACACTGCAGCCCCAGAGATGAGTGCTCTGCCATCCAGTCATGGAGTCTGAGGCCTCTGGTCACTCTTGTTAAGATGCTACAAAACTGGGTAAAAATTACTCATGCCAACAATTGTAACCAGGTTTTGGGGTTTGGTAACATGAAAGTAATACCACTTATTGCCCACCAGATGTGTCGTTTCACAACATAAATGCAAATTAATTTCCAGATAGTTTTAATAAGTGTATTCATGCTGAGGAGATTCATTAAGCTCCAGACATTCTAAAGTGCTAGCTAAGCAAAATGAGTATGGTTTTCACACAAATGATAGAAACAAAATTAAAGTATTACAGCTACCACAGATAAAAACCACTCCACACAGCTAGTTCTTATCGCCACCCATTCCTGCTATACCATGGAGCAGCACAAGTCCCCATGCTCTCTTGCTAAACTAGACATTCAAATTACATTTATAGTTTTTATTTTTACATGAATCTAAATATACAAACTTTACAATTAAGAAAAACTATGGATAACTTTAAGATTTTAAGTAAAATTTTTGTGGCTATTTGAAAGATTTAAAGATCAAGGCACTTTCTTAATGCAATGACTTCTGTACTAAGTATCACAGATGTATCTACTACACAATACTTTATTTTCAATTTATAACACATAACTAAATAATTGCATTTCTATGCGAATCAGCTACATTTTTTACAAAAATAACGCCAAATTCAAATTAAGCTTCTGAAATTGGAAATGTCTTTTGGTCACAGCATATTCTTTGAAGTTTTGTGTCTTTTAATGTATTGATCTCCCACCCAGAAAGCCCATTCCACACTTGATCTGTTCATCTTTCAAGGTTCAGATGGAACCTTCAAGAGCTGAGGCAGGAGGATTGCTGTGAGTTCAAGACCAGCCTGGGCTACACAGCAAGACTGTGCTTCAAAAAACAAAACAAAACCATAATTAAATGGAAGGTGCCCCTCTTGAAGATCCCTCAACTCTTCTAAAGAGAATTTTTCAACTTTTCTTCTTAGCTCCTATTATATTTCTTTTACAGTGACCATCACACTGCAATTATTTTTCTCAACTATCCACTCACTGGGCCAAAGACCTAGCCAAGACAAGGATGGTGAGATAGTCTTTTTTTCTTTCATAAAATTGGGAGCCCATGTCTCTCCCTGCATAAATATTTCAAAGAATGAGTAATCTATAGAGTTAGATTCATCATAAGGTTCATGCTGTCCTCCAATATGACCATTTGGTAAGGAAGAATAATGTTTGGAAATGGCAGATCTTGGGAGGCAGAAGGCCTGAGGCAGATAATCTTTAAGACAGATGGCAGAATTTCCAAACCACGCCCCAGGATAATTTTAGCTGGGCCATGCACAGAATTGGTATGAGAAGCTGTGAGCTGTGAACAGCCCAACAGAAAGGGCAGCTCCGGCAGTGTGCTTTATTTCCAGTTGCCACTGGCTACTGCATCCAACAGCACTCTAACAAAATGACTGTGAGTCCATGGTACAGGCTTAAAGACCAAGATATTTTTGTAAGAAAAATGGAGACGTATTGAGAAAATACTCTAGGTCTGTGTTTCTCAAACTACATGCACAGGAACCCCACCCTGTGACTCTGGAAGTCTGGTGGGGCCTGAGATTCTGCACCCCCACAACTCTGGAGAAGGTCATTGATCTGGGAGCTACACTGCAGGGGACACTTCTGGAGAAGACACACATATTTCCTCCATGGCTGGACTTTTCTTGGATTTCAAGAATGAATCAAGATCCAGATTAATATTCCTTGCTATAAGCTTGATGACATTAATTATATGAAGCACTACTGGAGAGCAGATTTTAAAAGTTTAAATAAAAACTTTTTAAAATTGTTCTTACCTATGCTCTGGTAATGCCATCGAAAGAAAATTCGTTCAGGTAGAAACTGCAATATTTTCTGTAAAATAAGGAAAAAATACTAAGATACAAATGAAAATATGTATTTTCATTATAGACCTATATTACTTGATATATAGAAA